AAGATCTCGCCATGGATTGTCTATAGGATTGAGATCTGGAGACTGGATGGGCCACTCCAAAACTGTGATTTTCTTGCTAGCAAAACAATCTTTAGTGCTTTTTATACATTCTTGGGGTCGTTATCTTGTTGAAACTTGAGACTTAGGCAGGTTTCCTTCCAATATTTCTTAGTACTTGACACTACCCCTGACACCTTATATGGTTACCAGCTCTCCAGGTCCTGCAGCTGAAAAACAACTCCAAAGCATGATGAAGCCAACGCCATAATTTACATTGGTGACGGTGTAATGAGGTTGGTGAGCAGTGCCTTTTTCCTCCAAACATAGCGTTTCTTATTCTTTCCAGATCACTCGACTTTGGTCTCATCTGACCACAAAATCTTTCGCCACATGGTCATGGAATCTTTGCTGTTACTTTTGGCAAAGTTTAGCCTAGCTTGCTTGCCCATAGTCTTCAGAAGGGGCTTTTTTTCTATCTGCCCTCACTTGCAGGCCAGACAGGTGCAATTATAGATGCATGCATATCTGTCCCAGTACTAGAAACTGAAGCTTTCAACTCTTCCTATGTTGCACTAGGGTTGGAGGTTGCCTCCCGGAATAGTTTTTATTTTGCTATTCTGATAAGTTTGCAAGGTCTCCTAAATCTTGCTAGGGTAGCTATGATTTTGTGCACTAACCACTTCTTAACTACAGATTTAACAGAGCTTAGGGGCAATTCTAAAGATTTTGCAATATTTTTATAGTCATTATTTTCATTGTACTATTCAATCATAAGGTTTTTAAGTTCATAAGACAGAAGCTTACCCAGTTTCTTTCTCAGGTTGATCACCTTCTGTTGACAGTCAGAAGCTAAATGCCGATATGCCGAGTAACAATGCTGTTGATGATTTTGTAGGCAGTTAAATCACCTTATATAGCAAAATAATAGACTGGCCAAGATTTCTTGTTATGGTAGAACGTACATGTCAATTTTGATAGTTCTTAATTGTATACATTAATGATAAACTACATGATAACACAGTATATCTTGCAAATACATTTTTCTAAGTTATGTAATTATATGAATCAGTGTAGAAGTTTTAATATGTAATTTTTTATGTCAAAGGAAAGTATGATGGATATGCTTATTATTTATCAATCATTGTTACTGAAAAAATGTGTTGTTCACTGTTAAATTATGCAAAATATATAAATTTTCAAAATAGGTATAGACTTGTGCAACGCACTGTATATATATATATATATATATATATATATATATATATAATTCATAAAGTAATAAAATAATAATAAAAGATTCCTTACACTAATATATATATATATATATATGTGTATATATATGTGTGTGTGTGTGTGTGTGTGTGTGTGTGTGTGTGTGTGTGTGTGTAATCATTCTCACACTCTCTCACACACACAGACAAACAAAAATATGTGTGTGACACACAGTGTGTATGTGTGTGTGTGTGTGTGTGTGTGTGTGTGTGTGTGTGTGTGTGTGTGTATGTGTGCCTGTGCATTTCATTAAAATGGCAGACAAAAATATTTATTTAATTTCATAGAAAGTTTTTTCAGGTTATGACTCTTTCAGTTGTATTTTCTTTTTCTGTTGTTTTGAATACGAGAGCTTATTAGCCTCTTGAAAATGGCTAAAGAAAAAGCCAAAAACGATTGGGACAATGAAAATTATATACTTCCTTACAAAACCCGAAATTGTAAGGATGCTTGTAAAACAAAATAAAAAAAATTAAATAGATCTTCCTTGTCTGCCGTATTTAATGATAAGACAGATCCTACCCATATATATTTATTTATATTTACATACGCTCTATCTCTGATATTGAGCACTTTTCCAAATTAGTATAGCACACTTTACAATTATATTTCTTCATATATATCAATATATCAATATATCAATATATATATATATATATATATATATATATATATATATATATATATATATATATCAATATATATATCAATATATATATATATATATATATATATATATTCGACTCTCACGTCGAATTCGACGTATGAGGGTCAAGCAGATCAGCTCCCAGGAAACCGACAGCCCGAAAACAGCACACGAGATTGGATTATAGTGGTGAAGGTTTCGTGCAGAACCATCCACCCTTTTTGAAGGGGCAAATACAGAGACCTGGGGAACTACGTGGCACAAGATCCTCAAATGACTCTCTGCAGGTTTTGGATTCAGAGTTTTCCTTCTCCTAGACCAGTTGCCATCCAAGGCTATAGAACCCAGTCTTTACTGCTATTTACCCATAGCTCCGTAGGGAGAAGTAGAGGATTCGCGCCTTCTCCCAAGGGTATTATATATATATGTCATTTGTTAAATACTTTTATTGCATATATATATATATATATATATATATATATATATATATATATATATATATATAATTTTACTGTATTACTTTGGAAGTATGTATATACGACCATTGAAATACATTCAAATTAATGTATGTACACTCACACGTAGGCAGCATAATGTTGTAATATGCGTACTTCATAGTTAAGGGCGCCATAAAAAAGTGTTTCGGACAATGTTGACTAGGAATAAATGTTGATATTCGAATGAACCATTTGAGGCCGACATAATAATATATGATATAAAACGGAAAAAATAAATACAGTAAAATATAATGGAAAAATTATGAATGAGGAGGAAGGAAGGAAGGACGGATAAAAGATCAAAAAATACTCTTATGAGTAGAAGGGAAAAAGATATGAATAAACAACAAATGAATAAAACGTGAAACAAAAACAAAATACTTAGAGATAAAGAGAGAAGAAAAGATTTCCTCTGCCAATAGGTTTATTCATTATATTTCGATATGTGTTGAGAAAAAATGAGTTAATCTTAATAAAATGGAAGAAACAAGAAAAGTATCGCCATATGTATAAAAAAATGCGACTGTGCTAATTATTACAAAGAAATTGTTTGAATGAAAAAAAGTCAGGGAATTTTTTTAATCATCAAAATAAAGTAGAAAAACTTCTTAATTAAAAACAAATAATCCTTATTGAAGTGAAGTAATACATCGTTGAAAAGTAATAAGATGAATAACGTGGTAAATGAATTTATAAACGTTTTTTTCTCAAAATTAAATTGCAATATATGAAGGGAAATTAATGAATAAGTAAGACATTTAACTATTTGGATGAAGAAGAGAAACTACAGTTGATGATTGAACATGCTGTCGGATAGAGATGTGGAACTGAAGAAATGAAACCAATCTTGTAAAAATAATGCAGAATTGATATTGAAATAGAGACAGAAAGATGAACATGAACATTGAAGGTAATTCTGTGACCAAAACGAATGGGCAAAGTTCGAAATGGCATTATTCACAAACACTATATATATATATATATATATATATATATATATGTAAGAATTGGTTTGCAGCTTCAGTGTTTATAACTATTTTTCGAGAAATCGTTTTCATGAAACTATCATCACCATTTCAATGGTTTCTCGATTTTGTAAACGGTTTTCTCTTTCTGGCATTTTCGCTTTTCTTTCCTCATCTTTTGACCTTGCTATCTAGCGTATTATATCCATCTTTTTTTATCCTGATTTTGCCTCGCTAATATTACTGTATCTTTTTATGGATATCTTTCTAAATAAATATAAGAATCCGCCTGGTTGATAGGTATTCGCCATTCCAACAGTGGACACAATCACATATAAAAATACTTAAATAGATATATGCATATGCGCAAACATACCCAATATCGAAGGCCATAGATACTCAAATTGTTTGCCGTACAGGACTGAGTAAATAGAAATTCAAACACTGTTAACATAAAAAAAGAAACTTGCTATTCTACAGAATAAATGCTTACGCAAAACAATGTCTCTCTTCCATTCCCCCAATTTAGTTTTGATTTGGAATATTTTCGCATAACATATCCCGTTCTGTTCGCAATATGTCGATTTCATTGTCGGGAAAGTATGTGTTTGAATTAACGTAATTATATTACCTAACAAGAATAACGTTGCATTCAACCAGTTCAAAATACATCCCACCTGGGAGCTTACACATTTAGCACATCGTATGTTCCACATGTAGACTAGACAGGTTCGCCTATCGTCCGGTTCAAACACCTCCCCTATTTTTGGAACAAGAATAAAAGTTCATCACAATTTTTGCTCTTTAGGATTGCGTTTATTTTCTCAATAGGATGAGATTGTTGCGCCTACCGTACAGTTCAAACACCCTCCTGCTTTTTGAAAATGAATAAAGGTTCAACGCGTGTTTCCTGTTTAGTATTAGCGTATATTTTTCTTAATAGGTTTAGATAGGCGTGCTTATCATCGGGTTAACTCTCTTCCCTTGTTTTGAACAGGGATTGAGGTTTATCACTTGTTTCCTGTTTAGCATTGGGCTTAGGATTTCTTCTAACGTCTTCTCCTTCGCTTTCACTTCAAGTAACCCCTTCCATCATAGTGGTTTTATCGCCTCGCAGGGGTGAATAGATTAAAAATAGAACATCATGCAAGGATACATTTCTGGATCATGGTTATCTATATCAATGCCATTCTCTTTAATATCATCTAGCATAGTTAAACTATGATTAAAAAGTCTCTTTCTCTTCGATGCGGCAAAGGAATAAGGAAAACCACTTTGTGTAATAAGCACTTACGCGTTGAAGCATCTAAAGAATAAAGAGTGCCATTCGTATGTCTGAACTTGAATTCAGCTTGATCAGAATCGATTTGAAGAAGATTAAGATTTCTTTACATTATTTAGATTCTTTAGACTTTTGTTCTCATCTTTATTGCCATATTCACGACGTTTCGGCCATTGTACGCTCCGGCATTCTTCATGTGGTATTTCGGACTGAACCATTTATTTCGTTCACTGGAGTAGAATGATCTAGTTCCATATAACGTGAACTCATATTTCAATGTTGTTCTCATTATTGCTTTTCCCTAACACATCGTTTTACTGGTTCCCCTTATTTCTACACTTGGTCGGTTTAGAAGATTTTTGTGGCTTGGTTTATGTCCTGATTTCTCATGTTCTCGTATTTTCCAGTGATGTTATCTCTCTATTATTTCAAACTCAACACACAGAGTGTGGTGATCTTCATTTTCATTCCATGTGTGGTCAGCCTCACCTGATTTTTCTATTTCCCCTCGTGTTATGAATTTATGATGTTCTTGCAGTCTTAACTTAAGGGAGCCGCCTGTTTCTTACCACAGCTGCACGGTATTGCGTACACTCGATCATGTTCTCCTCTATGGAGGGTACATAAGATTGTTTTCTGTTAGAATTTTGGTATGAGGTTTCATAAGGATTTACATTATTTACATGCAAACACTTGTGCTCATTTTGTTATTGTTATCACAGTATTTAGGCTTTTATGCACGCCAACCTTCATTAAGTGTATGTCGAACCTGGTCAGTACATAGGTGACCGCTTTGAAATATCGGGTACTGTATGCTTGGATTTGCGTGTGGCGTGAAGGATAATGGTTGAAACTGGAATTCGGAGAGAGAATTTTTATTTCCATTAGGGTTCTTCCATTAGGGTTCTTTATATTTACTTACGCAAAAAACACCATTGAGAAAGGTATGATTCTATCTCTTTTCCCACACATATGGGTTAATTCAGGAATTTGTTTTAATCTAAAAAAAATGATAATCTAGTTTTAAATAAACTATAAGGAGACTGGTATGACCGGCTGGCAAACTTTAATTGGCTACCTTATTTCTTCGCACGACAAATAACTTATTATCTATAACGACTGATTTATTTCATTGGGTTGGACATCCACAATGTGAACTACCTTAAGAGAAAGCAAACCTGTAAAGATTACAAGTATTCGAAATTTTTCGCGGATAATTTTGTATTTGTAAAAAAATAGAATTGACTCCGGCGTAATAATTTTGTTCTCCGCTAAATTATTTTATGTACAATATCATTTCTAAATCATTTTTTTTTAAATTATTACTTTCATTTACAGCACACATTGCAAGACCTTTTTTTTATACATTTCTCCGGTTAGTTTCTAAGAGTATCGCTTAGATACATCATTACACATAGTAAAAGAGACTCCTAAAGATAATCCATTCTTCTCATGTAAAAATCTATATTATCTTATACAAAGTGTCTCAGATTTAACTATCTATTTCAGTGAAATCGGACATTCTTTTAAAACAACTCCCTTTTATTTCTGTTCATTGTGTTTAATACGCGTTTGAATTGTATACATTTCTAATTTTGTTTCTAAATTTCCACTGTTGTTTTGTAGCTTTATATTTCATTCCCTTTCAGAAGCTTATTAATAAATAATACACAAGAACCTATCTTTGTTGAACTCTCTCGGTTACTTTGCATAGGATTTTATACAGAACAAAGGTTTATCGCCAAAAGATCAATATTTTAGCAGAGGTTAAAGATCACATTCAGTTTGCAGTGAAAGAGCTAACAGGTGAAAAGCATCAAAATGTGTTTTGCAACACTAAGAAAAGATTTGAAATTTGCAGCGATGCAGAGTGAGCAAATGTAGAAAATTTCAATTATAAGGTTGACGTAAGATTTATAAATATATTTTTATATCATAATTAAATAATAAACATCAAATTGTGCCATTATTTTTTTAAATGCCAGATATCATCGAAATATATAGTTATCTCTGGGACACCGTGTATAAAATATATATACTAAGTTATAAATTTTTGACAAACAATCAAACGCTTGATATGTGTTCCTGATATATTTCTGAATCATGCACTTTAGGGTAAAAGAGAAAGAGTGAGATTAAGAAACGTTTAGTCAGGCAAATAGAAGCCACTCAATACGATTAAATATCACAGGACACACATCTAATCAATTATGCAGTATAATATATATCGTTTCCAAATATCCAGGAATATTTCTTTTATCTATCTATCTATCTATCTATCTATCTATCTATCTATCTATCTATCTATCTATCTATCTATCTCTATTCGTCTCTATCTATCCTGCTATATATCGCACTGTTCGTATCTATCCAGCTAGTTAGCTATCTCATTACGTTCATATCTATCTATCTATCTATCTATCTATCTATCTATCTATCTATCTATCTATCTATATGTTGTGGTAGGATCCACCTAATTTGCATAGTGGAGTACCGACCATATAAATATGGTTGGTACCGGGAAGAGAGGGAGGAATCAAGAGATTCAACCAGAGACTCTGCCCGACTGCAACTCAGTCAACACATTCTCCAGGAACGGTCTTACCAGGAATATACAAAAGACTATATGTAAATATTGTATACACTTTCTTGTTTCAATACATTTTGTTCTAAGTACATTTTGTGTTGCATTATTATTCCATGCATTAGTCAAGTTTCAACACTATCTATCTATCTATCCTATTCTATCTCTATTCGTCTCTATCTATCCTGCTATCTATCGCACTGTTCGTATCTAGCCAGCTAGTTAGCTATCTCACTACGTTCATATCTATCTATCTATCTATCTATCTATCTATCTATCTATCTATCTATCTATCTATCTATCTATCACATTCATCACTATCCTTCTTCTACATTCGTATTTACCTATCTATCGCAATATTATTAGCATGTAATTTTCACACTTTCTTCTTTGTCTGTCTGTATATATCTCCCTATATCCAATTCTGCTTATCTATCTATCTATCTATCTATGATTATATATATATATATATATATATATATATATATATATATATATATATATATATATATATATATATATATACTGTGCAAAATTGTTATAGAGATAATTTTTTTCTTATATTTCAAAACCATCCTATCAATTCGCACAAAATATTCACACAATGTTGGCAACACTAATCTGCGCAATCACTGAAATTTTCATGCTGATCTGGGCAATGTAAACAAACTGGCGCCATATTTGTTATCAGCACGGTGATTTGACCGTGCCAAATTATTAGAAAAGTGTAAGAATTTAGTGAAAGATGGGCTGTAAAAGCAGTTTATGTGATGCTGAAAAGAAAACTATGACCTCACAACTCTCAAAATGTAAATCTACCCAAGAAATTTCTAAAATGATAGGAGGTGTCATCAAACAGTGAAAAAGTTCACCGCCGATCCTACACAAGTACGCAAAATGGCAGATAAAGTCAAGCCGAGAATTATTTCATGTCGTCTCATGTCACGACTTAAACGAGAGGCCACGAAGAAACCTGGACTTACCATTCTAGAGCTTTTCAGTTGCATTGGGGATCCTACTGTGTCTAAAAGTACTCGGTGTCAGTATCTGAAGGAAATAGCAACAACAGCCAAACCTGTATCAAAGCCTCCATTGACGAGAAATCACATTCAAAATCGATTGAAATGGGCCAAGGACAATATGAAGATTGACTTCTCTAAAGTTTCGTTCACAGACGAAACTCAAGCAACACTTGATGGGCCAGATAGATGGTGCAAAGGCTGGGTAATGAATGGACAGAATCACCATCAGCGTTTGAGATGCCAACAAGGCGGTGGAGGCATAATGATCTGGGGCGTTATTATTGGAAAAACATTAGTGGGCCCATGGAGATTACCAGATGGCATCAAAATGACAGCTGATGCATACATAGCGTTTGTGAAGGAGCATCTTGAACCGTGGATGAAAAAGCGAAGAGTTGCCTTCAGAAGGGCCAATGTTTTTATGCAAGATAATGCTCCTTCACATGCTGCTCACAAGACTACTGAATATTTGAAACAGTTAGGTTTCGATGGACCTCGAAAAATGAAGTGGTCAGCAAATTCTCAATCGAAAACCTTTGGAGCATCATGAAGCGAAGACTATACGCCAATGGACGACAATTCAGGAGCAACACTGAGTTGTTGGAAGCAATTCTTGACATATATCGCGGCATTACAGCAGATGACATCCTACAATTAACAAATTCTATGGATCGTCGACTTCTTCAAGTAATTTCAAAACAGGGAAAGCAAGTTCCCTATTAATTTGTTTAAAACTGTGCCTTTGTTTGTATCTGTTATTATTTGTTTGATTATCTTATTCATTAGCTTCTTTTGATCATAAAAATATCGTGCAACATTAATAAATGTTTTGTTAGCTCAATTCTGGGAATTTGACTAAACCTTTCTAATAATTTGGCACGCTCAAATCATAGTGCTGATAAAAAAATATGGCGCCAATTTGTTTACAATGCACTGATCAGTACAACAATTTCAGTGTTTGCGCAGGTACGTGTTGCCATCATTGTGTGAAGATTTTGTGTGAATTGATTGGACGGTTTTTGAAATATTAGAAAAAAGTTATCTCTATAATAATTTGGCACGCAGTATATATATATATATATATATATATATATATATATATATATATATTAATGCAAGTTTCATTAAATAATATGAACAAGTTTATTTTAAGCAAATTCCTTTTTATATCGTCTTATAAAGCAATGACATTATCATTGAAAGACGAAAGAAAATCGCCATATTTATGCAAGTTTTTTTTAATTCTATCTAAACTTTCTTCTTACATAAGCCATCGTCAAAGATGAAAATTACATTACAATGAATTAAGCAATACACGGAAATAGCAACAATGTTAGTCTGTTTTTGTTTGAAAGCAACGACAAACTCGTGCGTACGACACATACACACACACACACACACATATATATATATATATATATATATATATATATATATATATATATATATATATATATATATATATATATGTACATTATGTCTTCAGTCATGCACTCTCCATTTAATGGACGGGTTACGTTTTTTGCGTCAGTGACATTGACTTCAGAAGGATTATTATTTAGTATTTTATTTATGTGCTTGCTTGATATATTGTTATTATGTTGTTATATATAATTATCGATCTTTTTAGTACAGCCACTGCTGACCGTAATATTATTTTTGTTGAAAATCTTTTTTTTGTGTACGAGAATGACAAAAGAGCCTGTGAATTAAATTCAGGAATATTCGACTTATATTGTTTTTGGTATTACTGTGATATAGCTCGTTGAATCATATAATGTTACATCTGTGTTGTTTTAGCTTAGTTTTATCTTTATTTCTTGTTACATATTCCAACTTTGCATCATGGCTGCTGTGTTCTAGCAATTTGTTATATCTATCTGTATTATTGTCGAATATTTCTTTGTTACTAGAGTTGTTTGGTGAAAATAAATGTAATGATTTGTAGAATTTGTCAAGAATCCTTTTACGGTGGTTGAATTTTCTGTCGACGTAACTGTGGTTGTTTGAATATTTAGTGTATTTTTTGTACAGGCCAATATTCAAGCCAAATGTAACGTCTAGGAAGTTGTTCACTTTAGCATTAGTATTGGTGGTAATATTCAGTTCATAATCATTAAAGACTTTAGTTACGTCCTGTCTCATCCGGTTTGCTTGTCTTGGTCACACTTTCCAAAAGAAATAACCCTATCGTCTCTTTATATAACGTTGTTTTTTTATGTCAGTGATAAATCTGTGTCTCCATAGTACCAGTATCACTACAAGTTCGCAAGCCTCCGCAGAAACATGTGCTGCCATGGATACGCGAAATTCTGGGTTATTTTAATTAGCCCATACACTTCTATCGTAGTTTAGTATTCGGTTCTTGTACCTAACTTTTATTTACTTCTTGGACAGAAATATGCCAGTAGTTCTTGACTAAATTAATAGCAGCAATCAACAGATAATCTGATGATTTATCGATGTCACTAGTGAAGTTATAACTAATTTTGGCATTATTTTTGTTAAATTTATTTTTAATTCTGGTGAATGATTATAATGCCTGTGGATTAATTTTATGAAAACATTTTCGACATTTGTTTGAACATTACTGCTAAAGGACGGATTAACCCATATGATTTGCGTTTATAGTGTTTCCGTTTTATCTTATCCCCATCGTTCTTATCCAAATAAGTTAGATTTTTTTTTATCATTGTTCAGTTCCAAAGCCTTAATATATTCATCTTTAACATTATTAGATATTTCAACCTTGCTGGAGTTGATGGTTACGATGTTGGTAGGAAACTTTACTAAAGTATTTAAAGTTATGTAATTCTTTTCTGTATGATTCTTAGTAAAAATTATCTAGGTCTAATGTTAAGTCTAGTAAATTAATTTCTTTAATTGTTTTCTGTTGGTGGTAATTTTAAGATCATGGTCCTTAAAAAATGTTCTTTTCATGATTGGACTATGTTGCGCTGGCACGTTTTCCGTAGGATAATTACACAGCCATCTCTATATAATTCGGTGTCGTTAATGTCTAACATGAATCTAAGACGCCAAAATCACAGAATTCCAACAATATTACAAGCTTCTGCAGAATTACAAGCAACCATAGCAATATTAAACTCTTGGTGGATTCTCTTATTCCAGACAATCGTTGTGGAAATATACCGGTGTTTAATCTTTCTTTATGCTATTAATTTTTTGATCACTATTCAGGTAGTGATCTCTAGCTAGCTTTACAGTCGCCATTCGTATCCTCTAAGTGATGGACGGGTAGTAGTCGCAAATATCGAATTGGATGAATGCGCATTTATATTTCTTTGTATGTTGCTAAAGCATTCTAAGACAGAAACTGATTTCTTGCCACCGGTTCATTCCTAGAGCATTTTTGGTGTAATTGCATTCTCTTTCAAGAATGATTTTGCTGATTCTACCAATATTGATTTTTGTCGGGTTTAGTAATCGATAGTGAAGGTTATTAAGGAAATTAGAGTTATGGTTTTGTTTGTGATAATGCTTGTTTCTTATGAAGATTCGATTTGAAGTTTTGTGGCTATTTTCTTTAGCTTCGTTATTGATTATATCTTCCCAGTTATTAATGTCTTTTTGTAAAATTTGTTGAGGTCTGACTTTTTGAAATAATTATATCATTACACAAATAGTTCTTAACTACGCCAGCATTACAATAAACTAATATAATTTCAAATTAGATTCGATTAACGGTCAGAAAACATTCAAGACCTGAAGATTTCGTTTGGCATGCAATTCCGAGTAGTGCAAACAGTATGGAATATGTATATTTATTAAGATATATATATTTGTAGTTCTGTTATGTAATATTCGGCAGTCTTTCTATAAAACCAGAATTTTGCTTGTAATTCATATGCTAATATATCTACATACACACGCAGACGCACTATATATATATATATATATATATATATATATATATATATATATATATATATATATATATATATATATATTTGGTTCAATAGATGTGAGTTTGTGACCCTTGGTTTCACGCTTTAGCGATCGGCAGACAAACTCATATATATATATATATATATATATATATATATATATATATATATATATATATATATGTGTGTGTGTGTGTGTGTGTGTGTGTGTGTGTGTGTTTCGGCGGCAATCCATCTTTCATGCACATTTCATTGTATACGACAGAATAGGTGCTTTTATTTAGTTTTTATACAATTTCTCATGCGATCTAATATTTTTTTTCTGTTCCTATGATAAATTATATGAAAACTGTCCGAATGTTTTTTTTTATCCGAGCACTTTCGGCTATACATTTAACCATTTTCAAGGATTAAATATCTTTGAACAGGGATTCAATATCTTGAAAAGTGACAACATTTTATAAAACATACATACAAAAAATTATTTCTTATTTAACAGTTACAATATTGAATCATTAAAAAGCCGAAAGGGCGCGGATAACAAAGAACTTTCGGACAGTTTTTATATAATTTATCATCCGAAAAGAGAAAAAATACTAGATCGCATGACAAATTTTATAAAAAACTAAATAAAAACACTTTGTCTTCGTATTCAATGAAATATATATATATATATATATATATATATATATATATATATATATATGAATAAGAATGAAAATATAGCTTTACAGTATGCTCTATTTATAGGTAAATGTGATCAATATCAGTGAGTGAGATAAAGCGTATGAAAATATAAAAGTGAACTCTGACTTCAACCCCAAGCGGCAAAAGTCTGTTTCATACTTCAGACTATGTACGTTTTGTTCTGTCAGTTTAAGCCTGAAATAGACTGTCGCCTATGGGTTTTGACTTAAATGCCCACCGCTTGATATGGGTATGTATTGATTTCTATATATATGAATATATAGTGAGGGAAATTTCGAATAGATATATGACTGAATTATGAATGTTCCATAGGACATCAAGCCTGTTAACTACGTATTTTATATTTCTTGTTATGTTTTCTTCGCCGGGACGAGATGACGCAATATTTATGACTGTACACATTCCAGTCGGGGATTTTTGCTTTCATTTTGCATCTCGTTTTCCTATTAATTTTCGCCTCGCTCCTAACAATAGTTGAATATGTGCAGACATGTCAACCTTTCTATTTCAACTCCTATTCCGAATCCACCTTAAATATTTGATTATGTTTTTAATAACATTTAGGCTAATATAGGTTACATCAATTTGTATCATGTACCCTACGATTCATTATTGTAACCTGAGGCCTTCGCTTTCTTTTGTGCAATATAACCGATGTATACAAAAAAGCAGGTTGTTTTATTTGATAGACATGTATTTTTCTATAGAAATCTACTCATTTTTATATAATTTACAGATGGTACAATGGATAGCCGTCCCAAAATGCGTAATCAGAGAACCGAGTTCGAAATCTACTGTGATTCATTCACTAATGCGTAAATAATCTTAAGGAATGTATAAATTCATCTTTTCCATGGGTTAAATAGTAGAATTTTATATGGAACAATCATTGTTATCATCAGACAATAATTAATGCAATACTCACTGGACAAAGAAAAGAATGATATTTGCAATCCAAAATATGGTTTGACTGTGAATAATACACAACAAAGTGTTTACAATCCTTAAAAAAACATATCAATCAATCAAACTATCTCATATTTATAGGGGTTTGTTTCAAAAGACAATATATATATATAATATAATAGTTTTTGCGATGTACATAGCACTGGAATTGATGAGATCGAATGTATATCATGAATGATGCATTTGATGATATGAATGTTTGAGAAAACATTGGTATAAAAATTCGCATCACACAAAAGAAAAAAAATAATTCGTATTAATTCTATTTAATCGTTTAAATTCAGTAATTATATAGAAAAAATGAAAATGATTTTAGATTTAAGGTCCATTCTGAATTAAATTTGATGTATTAGCTTGTAAATTTCATGTGACTTCTATTTTATTAACGTTTTTTTTTTCTGTTTCTGCACTAGATGTTCCAGTTAGACATTGCTGTCTCCGACATTCAAATACATTTCCTTTCACGTGTTCATTTCAGTCATTACTTTTCATCATGATCTCTTCCTAGCAATTGTTTTTTTTTTCCCCAAAACTTAGTCATTATTCGTCAGTATTCAATACAGTTTTTCTTCGATCTCAGATATGCTTCTGTTTATTTACATCTTAAGAAGTTAAGTCTATTTTACTCTTTCGCGTTTACGTCATTTTTTCAATCATTCTTTTATAGCTTCTTCGTATTAATATTATATTTTATTTTCTTTCAGTTTTCCCTCTTTCCTCTGTTCTCATTCTTTTCCTTCTTATATCATTCAATGTTTCTCTTTCTTTTTTCATATTAATCACATTATTTCTTCCTTCTTGTTCTACTTGTTTTTGTACTTAAGTTGTTCGTTTTCATTTATGCATCTTCATTTTAGTGTTCATATTAATGTGTGTATGCATATATACCTATATATATATATATATATATATATATATATATATATATATATATGTGTGTGTGTGTGTTCTTCTTCCTCTTCCTCCTCCCCCCATGGTATCAGTGTTTTATTTTCCCCTGTTTTTCTATGCATTCTTCTGCCATTAAACAAATTCCTTCTTTCTTTCTTTCTTTCTTTCTTTTCTTTCTTTCTTTCTTTCTTTCTTTCTTTCTTTTTTTTTTCTGTACACGTTTCCTCCAAAGGCTATTCGTTAGAATTATCACCAATGGGTAAACACGAGAATGAAAATCATTTCGTCAGTGTCGACTACCAACCTCTTGTCCGCTAGGACATTGGCACGCTTCTTTCATATTTCTGCCCAGTAGGTAACAACAGTTATCCTGAAGTACACACACACACACACACACACACACACACATACACACACACCTGCACACGGACAATTATGTGTGTGTGTGTATGCTTGTCTTGTTTATGCGAATATTACGCATACGTTTTATGTAATATTTCAGAAAGCATTATGAGAATATGAATTTTGCCAGAGGATATATGCAGACTTGTGAAAAATATAGATGTACACAAGCATACATATGTATATATTATGTTATACATAGATGTGTAGTTCTATATATAACATGTCTTTGTGCAAGCATTACATCTATGTCAAGCACTGTACTGCCTGCTATGGAGGTAACAGTTAAAAAGTAATGTTTCAGGCTATATGATCTTAGAATATGAATCGATTAATAAAGTGAGCATGAATTACAAGAATAATATGGAGAGAAACTGGCTCGTTCTTTTTATAAAAGAAGTGTTTATATTTGCCTCCTTCATTTACATACGAAGTAAACTTAATATCTATGAGTTTTTATATAACTTCATGATTCAGTATGCTTATGAATGTTAGCAACATATTTGAAATATATTATTAAATAAATAATTAAATTTTTTTAAACGTTGAAGCTAGTTTTTTTTTTTTTTTTTTTAATGAGAGACCTTGTCAGGGAATATAACCCTCCAAAATGTCCTTTTCTTGATTGTCTAAGAATTGCCATCAATTTTTATGATCTATAATAGTTTTCCACTGCATTCTTTGCGGTGTTTAAACTTCATATACTTAAATTAAAATGGCTGCCAACCAGAGATAGAGAGAGGAATCCAACCAGCGTATTGGCGGTAGAGGGAAAAAACTGACCTTTTCCGTGGGCATCACTGCGGAAGGAACTCAATGGACTAACCCGGAATTTGAACATTCGTAAGGAAGGTGACCTCTGGATGTTATAGGTGTTGGTGAATCTAGCATGCCTCAAATTTGTAAAGTGCCTGAAAAGCATACCACGTATTGGCACAAGTCGTGTGAGTGTAACTGGGGTGACGGATCCCCTTGGGAGCCATCGGTGGTTGTGCTAGCAGAAACGTAACAAGTTATCGTGACCAAGTCTTTGAGAGTGCTAGCCTTGTTCAGACTGATGATCATGCTAGACAACGCGCCTCTCCAAGGAACTGTAACTAAGGTCTGCTCAACTGAGTTGCTATATGAACAAAACTCTGTATATATATATATATATATATATATATATATATATATATATATATGTATGTATGTATGTGTGTGTGTGTGTTTGTGTGTAATCGAAAACAAATAATATAATAAACATATTTCATTGGGCATTGTAGTTATTATATATCATCCCGAGTGCTGTCGAGTCTGTTTTGAACAAAACACAAATGTGCCTGAGCAGGCGTCTTCAATAGGGATTATCTAGCTGCCCTAGTAGACTGACATCCTCAGATTCGATTGGCTGCGACATTTGGTATTAACACTTGAAATTAAATTTGTTAAACTAAATATTACACTTTAAACTAAAATTGTTAAAACAAAATATTTTCATTATAAATAATATATCTCTGATACATTTTCTTTAATTTTTTTCAGTTTTTGGATGATTATTTAGCGTCCAATTTAAGCAAAAATAATTTTCTGTCGCTTTTTGATCGATTAGAATAAAGGAAAAGTTATACAGAAAATTTTACAAATGTTAGTTCTCAAAATAACCCCTATTTGCATCCATAAATTACTTGCCACCGTGGCTGTAGCTGCGCAATTCCCTCGTGGTTAAAACACGAGTTTGGGGTAGAAAGATGCCTGTGAGTGCCCATTACAAGATTGTGGATTCCGCAGTGGTTGTTAAGAAAACGGAAGAGTTGGTAATCTTATAGAGAATGTCCAGAGTTGATGGCAAAGAGTGTCTAAGCCAAGACGACTTATCCTATCGCGGCCACTAACAATCACATAAGCTTTGGCTTTGTCATAAAGAAACACATTTACGATCAACCAATGCCGGTTCTTTCTGTCTCAGTGCATATAGCACATTTTCTGCTGTGAGTACAGTTTCCCAGTGATTGTTTGGCCCCCTTTGGAGCACCTCATAGTGAAACACTTGTCGACTAGTCCACAACATATAGTGCATGATCTTATGTGCGTGTAGAAGTAGTCTTGTGATGTGAGGATTCTGTGTTGATAACCAATGTCTTTCACACATTTTTAAACGCACTTCAGTACACTACCGCATATGGAAGAAGAAAAATTATTTCATGTTGACTGATTTTCTTTTCTTAGAACATCATCCAGAATTTGTAGTCTTTCATTACGCTATATAAAATTTTGGTGTTATCTATATACTATACAGAACACAGTGCCATTATACACAGAACAATTCTTGAAAAGGAATTTTGTAGATTCGAAAGTACTCGGAAAGATATGATAAAATAACTATAACTCTCAATGTAATCTATTTATTATGTTATTTCTTCCCGAGTGCGTTTATTTTATGTATATACAAAGCAATATACTAAATACAATAAAAAAAACATTAGATATAGCTTTTTTACCCTCACATAAAGTTTCATGTAGACACCGCCTTGTTTATTTGATACTACCGACAAAAAAAAAAAAAAAAAAAAACAGTGTAACCCCGTGGAACTTCTTGGATAACAGCGATATTTAAGAATCGCTTATATATATATATATATATATATATATATATATATATATATATATTTCTGTACATTTCTGTTTTAATTTTGAATCTCCCGTGGAAGCCTGACGAGCGGGAGCGAAACCGGTTGCTTCCCCCCCTTGTTGTTGAGTTTTTTTTTATTATTTAATATTGTTTTAATATGCCTTGTAATATTAAATTTTACACTTTTATTTCGATCATTAAATTTTGTACCTACAAAATATCTTTAAAATATATATATATATATATATATATATATATATATATATATATATATATATATACTGTTTATACAGTGTTCTTCAACATACCAATTTTTGAGTAAATACTCTGTTTATAATAAACAGTATTAACAACATTTGCCGGCCTAAATATCCGAGAAATTTCATAGAAAGTATGTGTCCTCCGACAGGGGTTGAAATTGAGGAAACGTCTGGTTGGCAAAGTCAAATTACGCTTCTGCAAACTACAAATTTACCCTTATTTCTCTTGAACGCTCATATCTGCTCGAATCGTATCTGAAGGTAAATAAATAATTCGCCTTCATTCCGTAATATATGATGTCATATTTCATTATATATATATATATATATATATATAATGAATTTAAACATTATTTTTAGTGAATATCCATACCTGAGTAGGGGCTCAACTTATTTTTAACGGCATATTTATTTCTGTCAACCGAGAAATTACGTTAAAGCAAAATGCGTCCTCCTACAGAATAAAGCATCGTTAAATGTGACATATTTTAGGACAACTCTGCCATGAAGTATGACGTCAATCAAGCAAGGTTATTTACTTTACCTCCCCGCGAGGCAGGATGTGGCCCAATGCCTGTTTTCAATGAGGTTTAACCCGAGCCCGTAAGCTCGGGTAAAGATTTCCCTCAGAGCCCGTATACACGGGGTCGAGTAGCTGTCTACTGCGCTAGACGAGACTCTGCCCTTCGGCAGAGTTTCGTCTGGGTTCCTGTCTGCCTTCGGACAGAGAGTTCGACCAGCACAACTGGAGACAACTCTCCAAATAATTGCCGAAGCAATTCCCGTCAAACAAGTATGATTGGATACTGCGTTTTCTCCTGAAAATCCGAGGAGTGTGCCCTTTATAAAAAGAAATAAGAGCAATGTACTTGCTTCTTGATCTTTCTTATTACATAACACATTTGTAAAATAACATAATTGCGTTTATTTAATTCAGAACCTCTTCATTCACTGGCGTCCAACATTGATATCTATATATTAATAATTTCACTCCAAGCAAGACGATAAATCCACAAAGCTTCTGATGGTTCGCGAATGTGAAAGAATACAAGAAAAAGGGATTAAAAGCGATCAATAAAAACTGTAAATAACAAGACAGACATTAAAGATCGATATTGCGTTTAAATTTTTGAAGGTCAAAGTTGACTGGAAAGCAAGAACCTGTAAGTGTGTTTCATGCGAGTGAAGAAACAGTTAGTTTAGAACTGATTATTACATCTGGCCTTTTCAACTGTATAATAATATGACCGAACAACCACTCTGTTTTTATGAGCCATGTCTTTTCTGAACGTACGGGATCATGGCTCTCCACCTCCTATCTCTCATTAAGATCCTTGTCTCAGCCGCCTCTCCCAGACCACTTTTCTTTCATCGACTTGCTTAATCCTTCTAAGTATGTCATGCGTTGTTTTCCTTTGCCTCTCTTTCACTCTAGTCGTCACGTGAGCATCAGATTCTCCAGGGTCTCCTTATTATACGTCCCAGAAACTTCAGCTGCCTCTTCCTAATGATAAAATTAAGCCTCCTCCTTTTTGACAACCTCTCTCAGACTTCAGCGTTCCTCAAACGCTCGGTCCATGATATCCCCAGCATCCTTATGTGGAACCACATCTCCGTCGCCTCGAGTCTCTTCTTCATCTTTGAGGAAATAGTCCAACCTTAAAGAAGGACAGATTTCACGTAACAGCTCGGTATTCTTTTTTTGTGTGTTTAAATTCCTAATTTCTTGTTACCAAAGTAGAAAACGCATTAGATTTACCATGTAAATATGTATAAAAATGCAGGATGAGTCGTGGAGTCTACGTTACGGCGGGTGTAAAGTGAAGTTAGATGAGATGCCAGGCCAAGAACGATAACTTTTCAGATTCTAATTCGTAATCTATAATGAATCATTAAATACACTTTCACTTTTATACCAGTGAATAGATATCTCTGAAATCTTCTTCAAATAATTATTGTTTGGATTCTTGATACGTAATGAATTGG